AATATGCATTCATCTCCCCTTGTACGTCTCCTCAATAGTTTTATACACTTCTATTTCAGTTTGACGCCACCACCAGGGATTATTTTCTATACAATATGAAATTATTTCTCTCTGAAACAAAGTTACTGTTATTTATCATTCTCTTGTAAATAATGCAAGATTTTCAAAAATAAAGAAACGACTGTTGATAAATTAAGCTTAACCAGAAAATATCTTGGATCTTCTTTTTTTTTAGAAATTTAGTCTAAGAGAAAAGAGAAGGCCTGCGTGCGTACTAAACACTTTTCAGTTAAAAAAAAATATACAATAATTTTCCCAAATTTTGATTTTCTTCCTTTTCACATTTTAATCAAAATGGGTTTCTTAAATTAAGTTCCACATACGGTGTTTTCCACAACTTAAGTTCCACATACGGGGAGTGTTTTTAATTTATTTAAAAATTGAAACGAATCAATTGAGATTTGTTTAGTTTTTAAAGACAAGACAGACGGACACAAAAGCTTAGACTGATTCAGCATGCTTTCGGTGGATATCTCAAGTCCATCTCGGTGTTGCATATATCCGCACACATATATATACATATATATATATATATATATATATATATATACGTACATATGTCCTTATAAGTGCTGTAATAAATGGAAAATGGCTTTCTCTGAAACTTATCGTATTACCCTCGCACAAGCGAATGTATGGGGATTACTCGAAAACACTCTGAATTCTTTATATTGAATATCAACATTTGCGCATGTATTATCGCTCGCAATGAAAAACAATATATAAACATGTGTAAAGGTGAGTTATCCCATCCTTATTGCCAAGAAAGAATTAAATGCTTTTTGTCGATTACCCTCAGGTCAGCATGAATCACAGCGCGAATGATGAAAATTGAAATTTTCGTGTTTTAGATTGTACAACAAAGGTATAACTTCTGATGTACATGGATAAGGTTTACCTGCGAGGAGCGATAAAACAAATTTACTGTCTAAAACAATCCCAAAATCTTTTTTTGCTTTTGCATGGCCGCAAGAAGAATCGTTTCGAAAATTCAGCTGTGAAAATGGAGCTGTTAGGGTTGTTTAAAAATATTTCTGATTAATATCAAGGAATCGTAAACCACTGTCGACGGCGTTAGATTTAGACCCGACCGTGAAGATGTAAGATTTTGTTTTATATAATTGAGTTTTTACGAATTGAATCGATTTTGTGGTAATTGAGAACAGGCAGAATTTTGATTAGAAGTTGAAAAATGTATGATTCATAAACAATTTTGGACAAAATGTGTTTGTTAAACTTTAAAATATTGAAGTTGATTTTGAAAATTTTTTTAAATGTCATTTAACCAATTAGAGAAATGGAGAAAGTTAAAAGGAACTCGGGCATTTTCAATTAAGAATCTGTGTTGTCATATTCGTAAAACTTTAGCTCTTCCATGCGTTGATAAACCGTTAATGTGCATTAGTAAATTTTTGTAAAGGGCGTTGCATTAAATTATATAATTGCATCAGAAATGCGTTCAATGTCCCAATCAGGATATTCGAAGATGTATGTTATGTGCGGAGGACTCTGATGCACGGAGGAGTTTATTTGCCGAGGACTCTGCTCCTATTATTTTTATTATTATTGATTATTCTTCCCCTTGCTCATACAATTTCGGGTCGTCAAATATTTTAAAAAATTCAATTCTTTCTCTTGCTCATACAATTTCGGGTCGTCAAATATTGTGAAAATTCAAGCATGAACATATTTAATGTATTTATTTTTCGTGATGTGTGTTGTGATTTAATAAATTCCATAATCTACAAGTATTAGTAGTGCTCGCACACTACGTCAATAATAAGGGAACAGGTCTTATTTTTTGCAACGTTCGTTGGCCTGGTTCTTATGTTGCATTAAAAAAAATGAATCGACATTTGCGTGAAGTTGGCTTTATCTCTCCGTGGATTAGTCGAACATCAATTATTTTCGCGTTTTGTTTTGTACTTTATACATATGTTTTCGATGCAACAATTATTACTGTTTATTTCATTATAACAATTAAACAATTACACCGAAAAAATATCATCATTACATAATTACGAGTAAAGTTTAAAAAAAAAAAGAAACGCAACAAAGAGGAGGAATGTTTCTGCTAAAAGAACTGAACTTGAGGATATACCGAGAAAAAAATTCCTTCCTTTGCTTTTTTTCATTCAATGAATTGAAAACGCTCTTCACTTTTAACTGGATCTAGCAACTTATAACCTCTGCGTGTGTGTGCATGCACACATTTTGTATTATTATTATCTAGATTTGAGTGTTGAGCCTAAAGCTATTCAATCGTTGATCCGTCAGGAAAGAAAATCTCTAACCTACCGTTCATCCACAAAATTTTTTTAAAATTAGTGTTGTATTGTGCACACTTTGCAAAATCCATGACTATTGTAGTGATTATAAACACAACTATTTTAAACAAATACCAATGCCGTAAGAACACTACCAACTTGAATTAGCTACGTTGTGCGAAACCTTTGGAAAAGACAAAATAGACAAAAACTAGAGCGAATAGAGGCAACGACAAATAGAAATGGAAAATGAATCAAACCCAATGCAACCGATGTGTCGCTCTGGTTGCGTTTTCTATGGCAATCCCGCCACAGATGATCCGTGTTCGGTGAACGATAAGCTCTTTCGACATAGTATACCAAAATTTGGATAAAAGCCACTTCATCTTCTAAGGAAAACATTAAAATTTTAATATAATGTAAAAAGTATTGTGCATGTTGACTTACCTGCGTATAGATAATTTGCAAACCCGAAGTAATCATTTGAACTAAAAAAATTATATACAAAAAGCATGTAGATTGGATCGCCTCTGTTTGAAAAGTTCGACACGACTCTAATATGCTACGCATGCACTTCCTGTTAATTGGCCCAGCTCATAGGATTTACCACGATCATCGTCTATGCGTCTATAAGCTTGATATAAACTCCAAACAGCAGCTGTACAGTAAACTATCACTTTTGTGGGAGAAGAGGTTTCATTTAGGTGTTTGGGTACCCTGACTGGCTTTGAACACTGTTGCCGCTCCTGCTTCTCCCAAGTTACATAACTTACATAACTTCGAAGATGGGCAGTTTCTTTCATTGATTCGGATAATGATATACATTTCGGCTTCAGTGCTAAACATAGCGGCAGTTCACTGTTTACGGCAGCTCTTAGCCTTATTTTGGTGGTCAAGAGTCGATTTAATGATTGTAAGTAGACGTTCTTTATAGTAAATCATTTTCCATTGTAACAGGATTGCTTTGAAAAACTTTTTGATTTTCCTATATTTTATTTCTA